GGAATAAGAAATAACACACACATAAAAGAAATTTTAAAAGGAAAATGTAGAAGAATAGTGCATTTACAAAAATATGAAAGTAACTGAATTAATGCAATTTTTAATTTTTTTAATGTCTCAAATGATTACCTTGAACTTACAATGAACATTTTGTTATGTACAAGTAATACAATATTGAGCAAGCACATACAATCAAGGTATGGAAAGGTTTATTAGTCAATTCTCCATTGAAATGGAAATTCAGCATAGTTGAGGAAGTTTACCTTGAATAGAAACTAGGTCTTTTAGATTATCATTCTCGATTTTTATATAAATACAACTTGATTCTATATTATGTAATTTGTGACTCAAACTGTGTAATGTTTTTAAATCCATGGCTGAAGTCTTCCTTCTGCTTAAATTATAATAATAACCTAAAGAAGAGAAATCTTTTAAAAGTGTGTATCATGGTAGATATGGCCACATATGAATTATTTTTCTTATTATCATAAGAATCACCTTTTCCTTTCATCAGTCATGGGTTTTTATTGTTTCAAAGCTGACCTAAGATAATATGGTCAGGCATACTCTTTTGGTTCATTGAGTGAGTGTTATCAGTTATAATGAAGGGAGGTTTTAGAGCAAATGCCACTAAGCATACAAATATGTATTAAACAAACATGGAATTACAAAAAATAGTTCCTATTCCTTGTTTTATAAGTTGATTACATTCAGCTCTCAGTTATTTAGGTGCTTTCATAACATTTTCCATGAAAAATGCACTCATTTAGTACATAAGCCCATTTTAGCAACAGAATTCCACTACAGAATTCCACTACTTACCGACACAATCCTTCAAGCAATGATTAGACACACAACACAAATACCAGGTGCTTTACATTAAGTGTACAGCCTGCAAATTTGCTGCATTGTATGTGTTCATGCAGAACAAGGGAGTGTTTCTGAAATATTTTGACCAATCGACATAATCTGGAACATCACTAATATTTGTTCTTCATTGAAAAACATCTTTTTCAACATCTATTTAACATCCATTAGGCTTATTTTCCATGATCTCTTGTGTTGGTTATTAGAGACAGGCATAGGTGGAACACCTTCTGATTAAATGTTAGTTATACAGAAATGTGTACAGCAGAGTAAAAATCTTTATAATCTCTGTACTCTCCCATTTCTTCTGTGGATAACCACTGTTATCCTCCCAGATTTTTATCTGTATACACACTTATATAAATATATTTTTTTTAGCTATGAGAACTATTTTCTAAGTTCTCTAGGAAAAAAAAAGCTAGTTTGGTATTCAAGGCACTTAATAATCTGTTCCCCCAACAGGAACTGTCTAAACTAATTTTTCGATGTTTTATCCTATACATTCAGTGTTTCAGCCTCCCTGGACTTACAGTTTACTGCACATGCCATACCCTTTCCAGATTCTGTTCCTTTGATTATTCCATTCTCTGCCTGGAATGCCTTTATTTTTTCTATTTTATCTGATTATATATTTAAAATCTGTTTCAGATGTTATATCCTATGTGAATCTTTTTTTTTTTTTTTTTTTTTTTTAGTATTGTGGATTCCCTCCTTCCTTTCTATTTTCATAGTATTTTATATATAACTTGACTATAGCAATAGTCATCATTATAACAGCTATCAAGTATTGGCTCCACTGGGTGTAAGTTTAACTTTTTTACACTTATTTTATTTAAGCATCTTTCCACATTGCTGTAACTTACCTACTTATATGACTTTTCCCAAATAGACCACAGTTAACTTGCCCAACTTTATTTTTTTCACTTAAATCAATGTTATTTTAATTATTTTTTTAGTTTTAATTAATTTTATTTATTTTTAATATAAGGTATTGGCTTCCATACATCACCCTGTGCTCATCCCAACAAGTATCCTCTTCAATGCTCATTACTCACTTTCCCCTTTCCTCGATCAACCTTCAGTTTGTTCTCTATATTTAGGAGTCTCTTAAACTGTTTGCCTCCCTCCTTCTCTGTAACTATCTTTTTCCCCTTCCCTTCCCCCATGGAATTCTGTTAAGTTTCTCAAGATCCACATATAAGTGAAAACATATGGTATCTGGCTTTCTCTGACTACTTATTTCGCTTAACATAATACCCTCCAGTTCTATCCATGTTGCTGCAAATGGCAAGATTTCATTCTTTCTCATTGCCAAGTAGTATTCCATTGTATATATAAACCACATCTTCTTGATCCATTTGTCAGTTGATGGACATTTGGGCTCTTTCCATGACTTGACTATTGTTGAAAGTGCTGCTATGAACATGGGGTTACGTGCGCCCCATGCATCAGCACTCCTGTATCCCTGTATCCCTTGGGTAAATTGCTGGGTCATAGGGTAGTTCTATTTTTAATTTTATGAGGAACCTCCACACTGTTTTCCAGAGCGGCTGTACCAAACTACCCAACTTTAGATCCTAGTATATGGCAATATACTTGGACACATAATATGTCCTTAGCAAATCCATATATGAGAAAATAAAAATAAAAATGTTGCTTTTCAGCACTTGGTATTAAAGGAAATACATAGATCATAATTGTTCTTGGTGAATATAGACTAGAAAAGGTTACAGCATGAAGTGAATGCAAAAGACACAAGGAAATGGCATGTCTTTTTCCTGTATCATGTAGAGAATTCTATAGGTATGTTAGAAGATTGGGAAAAACTGAAGAAAATGCAAATAGATTGATCTTAGTCTAAGACACTTTAGCTTGAATTATTTGTTGATAGTTTTAGCCTTATGTGGGTATTCTGGGCAGTCATTATAGAATGAAATAATTTTCATCATGAGTGTAGTATAAGAGGTATATGCAAAATGAGAACAATGAGAGAAGATGAGAAAGGACTGCTATGAGGAGGGAATGGAAATTGTATTTACCTCTGATCTTCAAAATTTTTGCTGAATTTGCCTCCTAAAATAATTTGGAAAGATGACATACCACTTTGCAAATTTTAAAGTTACTATCTAGGATCACCTCGGTGGTTCAGTCGGTTAAACGGCCAGCTCTTGGTTTTGACTCAGGTCATGATCTTATGTTTCATGAGTTCTATCCCTGTGTCAGGCTTCACCCTGTCAGTGAGGAGCCTGCTTGGGATTCTCTCTCCCTCTGTTTGCCCTTCCCCACTCACATTCTCCATCTCTCTCTCAAAATAAATAAATAAACATTGAAAAATAAAAATAAGATGAAATGTTTTTTTTTTCCATGCATACCATCTCACTTCTGAATTCTGACTATATCCACTTCCATTTTTCTTGCTTCATTCATAATGATGGACCCCAGGATGAATGCATTCTTGAATTATCTATTTGTGTATATTCTTTGAGACTTTTATACCCAGGAGGCAATGCACCATAATATTATTTGGGATGAGCGGGACATATGCTTTCTTTTTTGTAAAATAGAAACAGAGCAATTATGAAAGGAAAACTGGTTGTTTGCAGGTGCTTGCATTAGGAAAGCGAATATATGGAGGTTGAGGATTTGGACATAGATTCAACATAGGCATTTATATATGCATTACTTATGAAAAATCTTTGTTTACGTTTTCTTGAAGACTCCTGGTATGGGTTATGTCTATGTAACTTCATAGGCATTGCACGGTATGATCATGAGGTAGATTGTGACACTGAGAATATACTTTCTGGTGCTTTGGTAAATACACCAAGCACCCTTTTTATATCGTATAGATACAGATATCAAGAATGTACAAATAACTGCAATCCCATGTTTTACCAATTACAAGACAAGGGGGAGATGAGTATGTGAATGATCAGAAGAGAAAGCTATGCTAGAGAAGAAATCCTTTTCCCCAAATGTACAGTGTACAAGATGAAGAGTTTGAAATTCTAAAAATAAGCAAAGGGAATTTCTAGGGTTTTTGAGTTCAACAGTATAGTCGTATGCTGGTTGTGATATTTGTTTCTTGAAAATACATTTCAATCTGGTGAACAACAAGGGATTAATTATTATCCCTTTCCTCAGTAATATAGACTATTATTTATGTGTAATCAAAGAACTTTTATAACTTGGATTTTCCTATAGTTTGTGAAATTTTATATTTTACCTGAAAAGCTTTTCATTTCTAGCGTAAAACATAGGCTAATAAAAATGATCAGTGTTTTTAAATTTAATTTTTATTCTCACTTTAAAATGGAATGCTTTGGTTTTAAAGATTAGTTTACAAGAATATTATAAAATGCTTAGAATAGGTGTTCACATCAATATTGATTTAGCTTTCTAAATGTAATGTATTTTAAAATATGCAACATTACCTATGGACTTAATATTTTCTATTGAGTTATAATGCACTATAGCATTAGAATAAGTCCAGCCAACATTAGGAAAGTTTCTGTTGAGCCATTTGTTTAAGTATTTGCAAATTCACTTAAAAATACTTATATTTTAAACATACTAAGATGTTGATATACAAGTATGAAAACTATGTGATATCAAGTTTATTCCCATTGCTGTATTGGGCTAATTTTTTTAAAACAAGAACCTGTGTTAGAGTTGAAGATCTCCAGATAGTTCTTATAGCTCAGAAGTATAAAACACAGTCTGTGGCTATAATTTAAGAAAAAAAATATTCCGACAGGTTCAAAGAGACTGGGGATAAAAAGCCACCCGTTTGCCTTTTTGTAGAAGCAGTAGCAATCTGCAGACAAGCTATTCTAGCTTCAAAACAGTATGGTAGATGGTTTTCTGGAACTTGCAATTACAGAAATCCACTTTAACCTTTCTTTCTTACTGGCAGGTGTCCCATTGGCTTGCAGCCAGAGGCTGCGAGTGTAGTGCAGCCGGTGTGTCCCCCAGAGTGCTGAAAATGCCTACACCCCAGCTGGCTGCTCATAATTGCACTGATTGTGGTCTGACAATCCAGAGCTCCAAAAAAGAAATGTGATGAATATACGAAAATATTTTACAAATTTGATCAGATTACAAATTTCACCTCTCTTTTTTCTCCTCTATAGATATGATATCTGCACTTATAAAAATAAGCCCTGTGGAACATTGGGTAAGTTTTTTTTTTTTTTTTTTAATGAAGGGAAGATAGTTCAGATTGTCTTTTCAGCTTTACACGTAATCATTACTTTGGTCATTTTCCTTTCTGACACATCTGAAATTACTCCCATAAATTGTTAAAAACTTGATCTTTGTGGTATGTCATTTACTAGGAAACAAGTAGAATGATGATTAAAAGCAACTTAGAAGGTGTTTCTAAATCTTCAAACAATCATGTTGAATCAAAAGTTACCACTCTATAATATATTTTCCAAAAATACCAAGGAATTTGAGAGCAAAGGAAAGCAAGCAATATCTTCAAATACCAGGCTAGGAGAGGAAAGGGGGTAAACTGGGGAGATACTTAAAGGAGAGATGTTGTGTTCTTAATATACTTCTTTTGGTGCAATTTTGTGGAATAAGTATACCCCTGTAAATTAAGATATTAGAAATTTTCAGTACCTGAACAACAATAAAATGAGTGGGAGGGAGGGAGAGAGAGAGAGGGAGAGAGAGAACAGGAGTATCATTATTTTGCTCCCCAGATATTTATTTTTTTGAAAAGCATTTCTGTAGTATTTTAGAATTTAAAAAATTACCATTTGTTGCAGAGTGTAACTTCATTCTGGTTAAAAGTTAACTGCAAATGTAAGTGGAGGAAAATGATAGCTTTCAAGTAGACTTTATTTTTAAGAACGGGCTTTTTTTTTTCTATGATAAATTTTTAGTGTCATAGCGACTTTTTACAGACATAAAAGTTAAGCACCTGAAGGTGAATTTTCTACTTTCTCTATGACAAGTCTCAATTTTCTTGTCTGTAAAGGAACAATTATGAAATCTATTCCTCTGCCCCTCATAAGAATTTCAGGAAGATCAAATTTAAGCAGAGGTGGGAGAAAAGGTGCTACCCAGTTTCCTAGAGAGCTTGGAATGTCACCTGTTTAGAGACTAAAATTTGTCTTGATTTTTATCTGCCTTTCCACTCTTCTCCTACCCCATTTCCCTCAGGATTTAAGGGTAAAGAAATCTCTATTAACCAGTGATGAGTATTTATAGTGGAGAAGCTTGCTAGTTAAAAAGCCATTAGGCTTTTAGGGAAAGAGCTGTATTTCCTTAGAGGTCTCACACCAGAAAGATTTAAATTTTTAGGTTAATAGGCAACTTAATTCATTGGAAAGGGCCCCAAATGGGAAACTAACAACTGGCTGTGACAGTTTCATTGCATTACCCTTTACTCTTTATTTAGGACTTTGTTCCTCAATTTCCTTATCTATGAAGTAGGAGCAGTATCTTCCCTTATGCACAGGAATATTGTAAAGATCTTTTAAAGAAGGATGTTTACTAAAGAAGTACTATAAAATGCACTGGTATTATTACTTATTGTTTAACCTAACCACTCTATTCTTGTTCGAATTCTATAAAACATTTACAAAGTGCTTTATCAATTTTGGATTCAATGGCCACTAAGCTTCAAAGCTAGAGCTTGTATTTTTCTAGTATATGTATATTCTGAGGATATACATATGTGTGTATAAATACACTTTCTATTCTGCTTTTTGCAGGTAGATTATTTACACTGAGATATGTTCTTCATTAGGATAATAGTAGTAACACTGCCTGTACTTTTGTTGTTATTTTTACCAAAGTAGATTCAAGATAGCTTTCTATCCTACATCTCTTTTTTTTTCCCCAAAATATGCATTCCAACTTTTATAGTTTATTAATTTCCCAAATGAATGCAATAATACTTTAGTACATGTCAATGAATTTTCAAACTCAGTATAAATTATTTTTCAAATTATAAACCATTATAATTTATCTTTTGTATTATGTCATGGTAAAAACTGAGTGCATATATTTACATGTATTGATGGTCATATGTGGAAAATAAATTATTAGTACAGAATTTATCAGGTTTTTTCTGTTTGGGTGGTTATTCTTGACAACCTTAATGTTGGTTTTATGCCAATACTTGGATATTTTACCTTGCTTAGTACCTCTGATGACCAATTGTAACATGGCTAAGTAGATTTAAGGGTGCAAACTGTGGCCATCAGACTGAGGAAATCTAAATGACCCATATAGTAATCAAACCCCTATTAACACAATCACACGTAAGAAGTTTGACAACTTTGATTTTATAGGAATACAGAAAGTTGTAGGGGTTGTGAAAAGAACATCTAAATTATTTTATTTCAGTTAAGATTTAGCTCTGTATTTTCAACTAGTAGTTATTTCCCAAATATTTTCTTTCCAAAGATGTTCTTTTAGTAGAATAGCTAAGTTAATTTTCAATCAGATACAGAAGTAAATCTGTGCTTACAAATACCCCTTGGGGAGTCACTGAGAAAAATATTACCACACAGCATATACCAAACAACCACTATAACAACAAACAAAAAGCTAACCCATGGAATAATATATTTTGGAAAATAGAAGAAATGTTAATTTAACAATAATTATTCTTTGTAATTGTTTTTTAGCCAAATTTCATAAAGCTCAAAACAGAAACATAATTCAAACAATGTGACTTTGTTCTTCTTGTATCATGGATGATATTGAACTCAGTAGCTTAAAGCCACATAATTTATTACTGCAAACTTTTTTTTTTTTTTTTTTTTTGGATTCTTTCCTTCTTCTCTCTCTCAATGGAATTTGGAAGTAACATTCAGTAAATATTTTTGATTAACAAAAATCAAGTCACCTTGCCCCAACTAGTCCCTCTTTTTCCTTCCTCTTCTTTAGGTCACAAGATTTCTTTTTTTTTTTTTTTTTTTTTTTTTTTTTTTTTTTTTTTTTTTTTATTTATTTCTAGGAGAGAGAGAGAGAGAGACAGCGTGAGCAGGGGAGGGTCAGAGAGAGAGGGAGTCACAGACTGAAACAGGCTCCAGGCTCTGAGCTGGCAGTCAGCACAGAGCCCGACGCGGGGCTCGAACCCACGAACCGCGAGATCATGACCTAAGCGAAAGTCGGACGCTTAACCGACTAAGCCACCCAGGCGCCCCTAGGTCACAAGATTTCTAAGTCAATGGAAGGGCACTACAAGATAACATTAGTATTTATAATAACTCAGAGAGGCAGAAATCAACTTCTTCCCCAACTCTTGCTCCTTCCACATTAAACAGTAGGAAAAGCAAACGGTCTATTAGGCAATCTAACACTGACTTCAACTTTGTTTCAGTGTGCCTATTATGTTCATATTTTATATTAGAAGGTACAGAGAAACAATTTCTAGAGCTTTCTTGTCAGTAAAAATATTAACTAAATAGCTTTTACTGTTCCAAATTAGTGTAGCTGGGAAATTGTACCTAACATAGAACATTGTTTATTGCAGTCAATAAATATTCATTGAATTGAATTAGAATCACTTTTTGTGGGAAGATAATTATGATTTGGGTAATGATAGTAGACTACTAACATATAAAATGTTTTTCCCACTTTTCCTTCAATTTCTTCTAAATAGCTTTCATCTCTATATGTGTTAAATATGATTTGGCATCTGTTTCTTTATAATACATGACATTTTATCTTTCACACAAAAATTCTTTTTTTCTAAGCACTGTTTTAAAATTATGTACTAATTCACAGGGCATGATATTTATTTGGAAGTAAATATGAAAGCTTTTACAAGCCAAAATTCCCAAGGGAGGAATACCTTGGAAACATCACATTTCACTAAAATCAGCAAGTTAACACTGTAGTTTTTGCTTTATTAGTAAAACTAATGCGTTGAAGGGGGATGGGAGAGGGGATAAATACACTGAATGTGTGAATGACTTGCTTTCCATTAAAATACCAAAAGAAATTGTTGCATCACTACCAGGACTAATTTCAAAAGATTTAAAAAAATGCAAAACGTATTTTTAACAGTTCTCCTTTTTCTGTTTTGAATCATTCATTTCTGCTTTTATAAAAAAATGTCATGTAAAAAATCTATTTGGGATTCCCTTTTTTTGGTAACTAGAAAGTTGCTTGTATATTTTTATGAACCCACTAAACTTAAACAGATCTCTTTAGAAAAATAATGTGGATATATTTTGCTTTCTACAGCCTAAAGAATGTTAAAATAGAAATGCTTTCTTGAATTCCCTCTTCTGGCTCAAGTTACTAGGTGGTCCCAAGTTACCAGAAGTAAAATTTATAAATCTAACCCCTAGTCTAGACATTTTCCAGCACTGACTGCAGTTCAAAAAATATTAATGTCTAGCCGGCAAAGTGAAACTCCCCCCAGTGATTTTGCAAATGACTAGAAAGTTAACCTTTTGCCAACTGCTCCTTCTGTGCATGGAGGTTATTAAAAAGAATCCAGGCATTTATAAGTATGGGCTTTTTAAGACTGAAACACCTTGGCTTGACCCTTTGTGTCTCCTTCTGTTTATTCAGGCTTGGCCTCTGTGGCTGGAATGTGTGAGCCTGAAAGGAGCTGCAGCATTAATGAAGACATTGGCCTGGGTTCAGCTTTTACCATTGCACATGAGATTGGTCACAAGTGAGTGAGTTTAAGAAAATCAAAATAAATTTTAGAACTCCACTCTTTTGCGCAACTCATAACTACCGTGTGGAACGCCTGTGTTCAACCATATTTTACTGCCTTTTTGTCTGATTTCAATAGAGAATGTTACCATTTGAGGTGTTGAGATAAATCATCTTAAGAACTGGAGACTTGTTAAATAATCTTTATCATTCAATGACCCCTATTTTTAGAGTGGTGAATGTATCACACGTAAGTTTTGTTATATATATTTGAAATAATTTATCTTTAGCGTGGTCTGTTCATCACCTAGTTCCTCCAAGTTAAATTGTTTTAGTAATCTGTCTTTTCCTTATGTGACAATACCTGTATATTTTAAAATCACTATTGACACTGCTACCATAAAGTCTACTCTGACTTTTCACTCTTCATACAGCTGTGAACATACCTTTTCCAGACATAAAGTTTGTGCAGTCAATGCTGTGTAACTTGTGTTTTCAGGTGTACTTGTATGTCATTGAAAACACACACACACACACTCAAAACTGATGTTACAAAGAGTGGTGAGACATCATTCTCATCACTTTTTAAGAGGAATTAGAGTTTTTAATATTTGCTTTAAATAAATCTTTGTCCTAAATTGTCCTATGGCTACCCCCCCTTATACACACACATAGCAGTAAAATCCTTACTTTCTTTATTTCAAGCAGCAGGCAGTAGTAAATGTTAAAGCCTGTTCATGTGGAAGGAGAGAAACTTGAAAACTTTAAAAAGATAGTCAAACATTTTTAAGTAAAATAAGCAGCCTATTTGCAGAAACTCCTGACATTTGTATGATTTAAGTTTTACAGTCTGCTTTTTTGGTAGAGAAATGGATGGGGGAAAAGAAGAACAAATAAAAATGAATGTTTATTATACACTTGCCTCAGAGGTCATTCCTGAGAAATCTGTAGTTTACCTTTTTTGTTTTTTGTTTTTTTTTTTCAAAATTGAGAGTGAAATTGAGTCAGTCTGTTGCATTATTTTGAAGATTGCAATTTAAAGTTTACCAAATTAGTGTTGATTTATGTGTAAAGGCAAATGACTAGCAAGTTGAAACCTAACTTGATTCAGACATGAGGAAAAGTCAGTATTACACTTTTAATGAAGTCCAAAAAATATTGGTCTTCTAGTTTCCATTGCAATAAAGAGCAGAACAAAAAGGCAAAGCCTTCTGAACCAGTCAGTTTATCTTCAACGCACTTAAAAATCTGGCTCATTAATGACTGTCATAATCTTATGCAACCAGACTGAATTTAATAGGTTCTGTTAGATTCAATTACATTGAAAGGTTAGGACAAGTAACATACAGTGGATAAACAATGTGTGTATGAAAGCACCATTACCACATGCAGTCACAAGTTAGTGTCAACATATGCCTTGTAAGGCTCATTCTTGTATGTACTTAATAGCTGAGGTTAAGGTTTATCTTTCTTTGTGTTTTTTATTAAGATGAAGATTCTAACTGACCTCCTGTCAGACTTCATACACTCCTTTTTGTTGTTTTTGGCCTCTTAGGTAATTCCTTTTAATTCTTCGTAAGATGAATGGTTTGTACCTTATGTGGAAGACTGTGAAAGAGAAATAGAATATGAATTTACCTTTTAAGATTTATATGGTTTGGAGTAACTTTATTTCACAACTAATTCTTGTTTGATAATGTGACTGCTAAAAATGAGGAGGTGGGGAATCTACAAAATGCTTTATATTGAGTGCCAGAAAAAATCCTTCCACTTAACAATGTTATTTGACAAACTGAAAATCAGGTATCTATCCATGTCCAGTTGATTAATGGGTCAGTTTCCTCTATTCCCTTTTCCCCAAACAGCAACACAGGGTATGTCTAATATACCTTTTTCAATATAGCAAATTATTATTATTTGGTTAGCTAGGAAAATCTGTTTCATGGAAGAAGATCCCTTTACTTGTTTTTAAGATCTTAGGGCTTAGTTTTAAGGAACTTAGCAAATCAACTCTGGCACAACTTATGGCATCACTAAAATACAATCCCCTATTCTTCCTGAAACAAAGCAACAGCCATAGTAAATATATCAGGTACAGTTTTCAGTTAGAGTGTGCTGGATTTTTATAACTTGTATCATTTAGTAGGATGGATGTTAAGTGATGTGATGATATCTGCAGATTCATCATGGCGAAGAATATTTGACTATAAATTACTGAGAATGCCCCCATTGAGTCACTAGACTGAAGATTTTCAATGTATTCTTTACATTGTGTAGAATATGGTTTTGCACCCACTGTATACTCCTGTAGGTATAGAATATCCATTTTAAGCAGCTATGGGATAACTTTTTTCTTTGAGTAGGCCTTGGTGACCAGTTTTTTTTTTGGGGGGGGTAGCCCATATGGGAATTGAATTAGTGACCACTTTTATTTCTCTCCATTCTTTTGTGAAAACAAGAAAGATTGAGGTTTATGCTATATTTAAATGACATGTCTAGCTATACACCAAAGGGAATTAATGAACCTTATAGAAAAGAATGTTCATTGAAAGATATTTTTTATTAATAATGTAGTTGCTGTAGGTTTCAGCAATTGAAAAAAATATATGATGTTGAAAGAGGGTGGCAAGAATTCAACCAGACTTCTTTGTATGTTGAGAAAAGTCTCATGTTTCCACGTGGTACAAAAATAATCTTAAAAAGATATCTTAAAAATATTCATAGTTTTTAGAGATCATGTTGAAGTATGCAGGACTAATGTGACACGATGTCTGAGATTTACTTTTAAAAGAAAATGAAAAAAAAAGATAAGGCAAGAATAGCAACATCTTGAATTTTATCATCTTGAAAATGTATGGATGGGAGTTTATTATGTTACAGTCTCTACTGTTGTACATGTCTGATATTTTCTCACAAAAAGGATTAGGTCCTAAGATCATAAATCTTTTAACTGACTTAGTTCATTTATTAATTAATCATGATTTAGTGAACTATAACTCTGATTTTGAGAGAATTTATGGAAGTGTTTTACCAAACGCTACAGGTGTATATTGGCCTTGCTTTTCAAAATCAGTACCAATGTTTGGTCTTACCAATAGGGGTACAGAAGATTGGTTAGGAGATGATTATTTATTTTTAAGGAGAAATGTGGCAGACTTCAGGATAAAATAGTAAATTAGGTTACTGTTATACCCAGATCGCAGTATCCTCAACGACCAGAGACCACCGGATAGACTGAGTCACGCATGCAAAGGCAAAGGGCTTTATTACAGGCTCGAGCTCGGGCTCACAGACTTTACCAGCCTAGTGGATCCGTGCTGTGAGCCCCGAACAAAGGCAGAGTAGGGTCTTTATGGGGTTTGTGACGGGGGAGTTACAGAAATTGTGGCATGGGAACAGTGATCCAATCGTAATTATTCAACATCATTGACAGTGGGTTTAACCATACACATTGTGTAGAGTATTCGTTACTTTTGGCGGGATCCAATTACAACATTTAGAGTACCTTTAAATTTAACCAATTACAGAGCGAGCCTAGGGTCTTGTTCGGCAACTAACGGGTTAACTTTAACATTAGGTAACAGAGTCGTATCTATGGTTTCTATCTATAGGCCTCTCCCTCAGTAATGTGGAGGGTGGTTTCTCCTGCCTTGGGCAATGTATAACTGCCTGATAGTTTCCGGGAAGCTGAAACTTAGGCCTTCTCGTTTAGAGGGGAAACTTAAAGCCTGTCATGGAGTCAGTTTGGTTTAGACTTGTGTCCTTACATTACCTGTGTTAGGAAACTCTTACTACTATTTTCTTTCAGCAGAACTTCCCTTCTCTTGTTGCAAGTACCTAGGTGTCTCTATCTGGTTGATTAGGACTGTACTTTCATAATAGAAGGCTAATAATTAACATCCACTGAGGTATTTGAGACTGTATTTGGGACTTTAAAACCTTTGTCTAGTTTTGATATCAAAATAGTATTAGTCTTATAAATGAGTGAAGAAGTATTCTATTTTCTGGAAGGGTTTGCTTTCCCAAGAGTACATTTTAAAATAACATTTTGGCGTAATTTACATACAGTAAATATGCATGCATTTTGTGTATGGATCAATAAATTTTGGCAAATGTATATAACCATTTAATCACCACCACAATCAATGTATCAACATTTTCATTGCCTGTCTCCACCCTCATCCCCTTTCCCCTGGGTCCAGACAGCCACAGTTCTACTTTCTATCATTATAGATTAGTTTCATTTAAGTGGACTTACATAGTGGGTACTCTTTTATGTCTAGTTTCTTTCCCTTAGCATAATGCTTTTGAAATTCACCCATGTTGTGCATACTAGTAGCTTTGTTGTTGTTGTTGTTTTCTGAATTGTATTCCCTATCAATAGCAATAGCGCCTACCACATTTTAAGTTTTTTCTAGTTTTGGGCTCTTATGATGAATACAGCTACTGTGAACATCATGTACAAATATTTGTTTGGACATTTACTTTCATTTCTCTTGGGTGGTACGGCTGATAGTATGGTATGTGTTAGGTTCGTTTTATCATAAACTGTTTTTCAAAGTGTCTGTATACCATTTTGCATCCCCACTAGCAATCTCTGAGAGTTCTTATTACTTCAAAATCTTTGTCAACATTTGTATTTGTCTTTTTAATTTTAGCCATTATTATGCATTTTGTTGGCATCTCATTGTAATTTGAATTAGTTAATCATCTATTTTCCGGTAAATAATGATGTTAGTGATGATGAGCATCTTTTCATATACTTATTTGTCATTCATTATCTTCTTTGAATATCCATTGAAATCTTTTTTCATTTTTTTTTTTTTTTAACTGAAGTGTTTTCTTCTTATTGAGCTGCAAGAGTTCTCAGTATATCCTGGGTAAAAGCTTTTGTCATATATACGTAATGTGACTATCTTCTCCAAGTCTGGTATTTGCCATAACTTTAAAAAAAGTTGTTTTTTTTTTAAAAAAACAGGTGTTTTTTAAAAACACAGAATTTAAAATATTTGATGA